ATAAAATACTAAGGGAAAGCAAGAAATGGCTATTGAGATATAATTGAACCCTGAGAGCTGTAAAGAGGACATTAAAACAAAATGGCCGTATAATTAAAGAATCCAGTATTACACCATGAACTTCGTTTCTTGAAATCCCAACGACATCAGGGCCCATTAGTTTTGAGTAAATGAAGTTCCACTAATGTTCCTCAGAGTCTTAAGCTTTAAGCTTCTGTAAAAATATACCTTAATTGATTTAGAAGATTTAGGAATATTTTACAGACGCTAACTTAAATGCAACAGGAGTAATCATCACCATCCATTTGTTTCAGCATCGACTGCTCAGGCTTACAGCAACGGTATATAATGGTTTTTATAAATATGTATAAGGCACTTCCTTTGCTCTTGGTGATAGCTAGACATTTTCTTAGAATCTATAAAGGCAAGTACACAAACTCATGGGTCCTCCAGTGGTTCCTATGGAGAGCTGAAGATGTGATGACCATCAGTGTGAACTCTCCTCCCTGGAAACTCTCTTTGTGGTCCAATCTTCTAACACATAACCGCTTCCCACTCAAGAAAGAAGAATAACACGAATGTCAACGTATTATTTTCATCTGACAGTTCAAGCAGTAAGACTGGTCTAACTTAAGATTTGGTACCAGTCTAAATGACTGGAACATATGATCTCAGCCTCATCACAGAATGGGGGTTTGGTTACACTTTTTCTCTTAAATTCTATTTAGTTTCAAGTACACTACAAATATTTTGTTATTTTTCAATAATGCCTTTCTTTGTTTTTCCAAGATAAAAAACATGATGACCCCATGGTTATTGCCAAGTGAATGCTTTGCAGTAAAGCATTTTCTCATTTTCATTGCTCTCTGTTAAAAAAAAAAAAAAAAAAAAAAATCAGCAGGCTGACTGCTGCCCTTACAAGCCAACAAAATAAGATCACGTCTGAAACTTCTGCCCAGACCTCCATTTGGGTCTGCTTTTCAAGAGTGAGATTACATTTTCATACCACTGAAGCAATAAAACTCTCTTCCAAATGACTCTGCATTCCTACAACCGTGTGGATGTTATAGTTAGTATGCAAAAACAAGGGTCGCTGAGTTGAGGAGGAAATATCAGGTTCAGAACTCTGGCTGCCTTAGCATGAAATGAGGTCTTTTTCATGTCCTTGTATTCTCGGCAAACAAAGAGCCCCGAGCTTTAGAATAGCAATGACAAGAAACAATCATACTGGCAAGATGCTTTCTAAGTCATCAGCAGAGCTGAGATATAAATGGGCTACCGAGAGTCGGACCCGGTACGATTAGTTAAAGAATGCCCGTAAGAGCCGTCTGGAGTGACAGGCCGCCACTTTCACCAGACCCACGGGGCGCAACTGCAGTAAATGGTGTCCACACAGCTGTGGGTTATTGGGAAGAAACCTGAAATGAACACAGGGCCCCTTTTACCGTCATTCTCTGCTTTCACAATGTTAACTGTGACTTGCTGGTAGTGAAACCACCACGTAGAGTGGACCGGTATATCGCCATTGTTTGAGGTTGACATCAACTACCGGGAGTTCGGCGCATGTTGAGAAAATAATTTTATAGTGATCTTCAGAGACTAATTAATAAACGTGGCTCTTTTTATCTGGCTGTTGGGATCTTACCATGACCTTATGAAGCAGACTTTTGTTTGAATTATACCCAAAAAGAAAAAAAAAATGTGAGGAGTTTCTAAATAGTTTTTGAAAGCCTCATGTGAATCATCAAGTAAAATTATAATTTATAAGGAACATTATATTTTAGAACGATAGTTTGAGTAAACAAGACTCCTTTTCTCTCTCACACACATTACATATGTAGTTGAATTATCCCAAAATTATTTTAATATTTCAGATAGTAGGTTTAAAATACACTATTTATTAGTAAAACTTAATCATGATGTAAAACACAATGGTTTAAAGATAATCCAACCTCACTCCGTCGTTTTATAGTAGGGAAGCCGGTTTATTTCCCTTTTGAATTTCAAGTATGCCAATATTTAGAAAAAGGTTGTAATAAAATAAAGATGAACAGAGCAGCCTAGAAATAGCCGATGACTATTGTTCTTTCAACAAGCCAGCACTTCGTAAGCACCTGTTGTGTCTACGAGCCTGCGACCTCCAGTGATTCATTACTGTGACTGGATTTAAGAACTCTTTTGAGGGGCATGATTGTACAGGCTTGGAAGGAAGAGGCATGGGGATTGTGAATTCCATACCCGCCTAGACTACACAGTAAGACCCTGTTTAAAAAACCCAACAGGTGCCAGGCACTCCTCTGCTCTGGGACCACAATGATTCAGTAACTGCTTAAGAGAAAGTGGACAAAGCCTGTATGCTTCTACAAATTAAAATCATAGTAATAATTAAAAAAATGAACACTCTTTAAAAACTGAATCTGCTCACTAGTTTAAAAATAATAAATCCTTGAAAACTTTCCCTTTATATACCATGCAGTGCTAGGCAGCCATATGCCTTAGGTTTGGCCTCAAGTTTGAACAGCAGCCCTCTTGTTTCCAAGTGCCCTGGCAGCTTGTGTGTGGATTCGTAGGACTGTTGCAAGAACTGTATTCAGGGATATGGGTGAGGTACTTCCAACAGTATCTAACACTTTGCAACAGTTCCCTGATATTATATCAGTGGGTACCACTAGGTTTACACATTTTACATTATTTTTGTTTATTTTTTTATGTGCATATGTGTCTATGCACTACTTACATGTCTGGTGCTCATGAAGGCCATAAGAGGGCATCCCCTGGACATGGAGTTACGGACTGTTGTTAACCATACACAGGGACTGGGAATTGAACCCGGATCCTCTGGAAGAGCAGTCAGTGCTCTTAACTGTTGAGCCATCAATCCAGGCCCTGGGTTTATAGATTTTAAATTTACTATTATTTATCTATCTTCTTACAAATATGTGGGAAATAAATATGAAGATATCTAGTGTGTCTAGAGAAGATATACACTCACTGTGTGTAATATGCAATATTTGGACCTGAAATGAAGAAGTCAGTTGGTTCTTTAAAATTGGGATTTTGCTTGTAGTTAAAAAAAAAAATGTAGAGTATAATGATTATGAAATACCAAGCTGCGATTTTTCTTTCAAGAAACTTTAATGGGGCTGGAGAGAAGACTTAGATTAGGAGTGTATACTATTCTTACAGAGGGTCAACTCTTTTGACACATGCATGCCAGGTAGCTCACAACTCCCTACAATTGAATCTGCAGGGTTTTGACACCTCTGGCCTCTGTAGGCACCTCCACTCCCTACACATACCCCAACACAGATGCATGCATATACACATAATTTGAAATCATAAAACAAATATTTTTAAAAATATTTATCTAGCCAGGCGGTGGTAGCACACACCTTTAATCCCAGCACTCAGGAGGCAGAGGCAGGCAGATCTTTGTGAGTTCAAGTCCAGCCTGGTCTACAGAGCGAGATCCAGGAAAGGCGCAAAGCTACACAGAGAAACCCTGTCTTGAAAAACCAAAAAAAAAAAAAAATTATCTAGAAATTAATAAATAGTTATGTTTTGGTATCCCCAATTTTATAATAACTTGTTCTTAATCCATTAGAATTATAAATAAAAATAATATTTGAAAACTACATCTATTTCCAAGAATACAGATATAAGCTAAACAATCTTTTCATATATTTGTATATAAGGTGCTTTAATTCACACAAAAGGACACTGATGGAGCTGGGGAGCTGGCTCAGTTAGCAAAGTGCTTTTTTCACATGTGTGATCCATGTTCAGATCTCCAGAACCTATGTAAACTGCCTGGTGGTGGCACGCCTATAATCCTAGAGCAGGGGAGGCGGAGACAAAGGAATCCCTGAAGCTCACTGTCTAGTTTTGTCAAATAGGTGACCTCTAGGTTCTGTGAAAGATGTTGTCTCTAAAAATAAGGTGGTGAATGATAGGGAAAGACACCTGATGTCTACCTCTGGCCTCCAAGTACACACACACACACACACACACACACACACACACACACCACAAAGACAAAGGGAAGATGTTGATAAATTGACTACATTAAAACTAAGCCACAATGTAAGGAAAACAGAAAATGCCCCTTCAGCCTCAGCAGCCCTTTTCCCATACCTTGCCAAAACAACAAGCACAAAGGGAAAGGGGTGAGGAGCCTGATATATGTTCTCTCGGCCTTTTAGGGAAGTTGATGTTGTTCCCTTGGCCACAGGCATGCAAATGTACAAGAAGTGTGATCTGGTAGACATCAAGGCAATGGGTACTGTGAAAAACAGGAAAGGCTCATAACTGTTACCATGGTAAAACTGATAAGAGTCCACAACATCACTCAGCATGCCTTGGGCATCATTGTAAACAAGCAAGTTAAGGGTTAGAGCATTAGCAAGAGACTTAATGTGGGCACTGAGCCTGTTAGACACTCTGAGAGCAGAGACTGCCTGCTGAAGTGGGTGAAGGAAAACATCAGAAAGAAAAGAAAAGCCAAAAAGAGAGAGATGTGGAGCTTTAGCTCCAGCCAGTTGCACCCAGAGGAGCTGTTATTGAGGATGAGAGGGAAAAGACTGGGAACTGCTGGAGCCCAGTCCCTGTGACTTCATGGCTTAACATACAAAAAGAAACTTACAACGGTCGAATTGTTTTCCTTTGAAAACAAAGGAAACAGCAAAGCCAACCACAAACAATAAACATTTGTAACATATTTCCTAAAGGTGTCAGTATGAAAAAGTTAAGTGTGTAAATTGTAAAGATGAATAATAAAAAATAACAGAACATAAGAAAAAAGTATTTTACTCAAAAGAAATACATTTGGCCAGTGACTAAATGAATTGATTGGTCTCATGAAAATGGTGTTGTATTGTGATTTGAATATCATATTAAATTCCTGGAAATTTTAAAGAAATCTGGAAATAAAAATGGGTTCCTTTTGCACATGTATGAAATTGAGTCCAGTTTTGAAAATGATTTTTTTTTTAATTTTAAAGCTGAAGGAGTCTCCTAGTTGCATACCCTATGACTGAGCAATCCCCTGCTGTATGCACACAAGGTAAACATTTGCATGTACCAGGAACATATATGGTGAGTCTTGTCATCACAATTTTAAATGAAAAGCATGTTGAACATTTCAAATGCCCATTAACAGAAAGTCATCAAGTAAACCACAGCATACATTCAATGGTAAGTACTTAGTAGATAGCGTAGAACAAAGTCCACTGTCAACTTTTAAAAGATAAGTAGTTATTTCTGTTTGAAACAACCAGAGAGAACATATATGACATAAAGTTTTTTCTTAGGTTTGAAGCTGGAAAAGCTCCTAAAGTCTATAAATATTCTAGTTATTACTATGGTGTTCTAGAGAAGCGCAGATTCTGGCCTCTTGGGCTTTGTACACAGGCAATCCAGAAATTGCACAAAGAATGTAGAATTTAAAGTTATAGTAAATGCCAATAAAGCATCAGAGACAGACCAAGACAAACTCAAATCACAAGCGTTTCTGAACAGGAAGGTGGAAAAACTCCATAGAGGACAGTGCAGAAATGTCTTGAGGAGCCTTACACAGACTCAGCATTTGCTCAAACTGGTGGTGTCAAGTTCAGCTGAGGGTGCATCTGTTTCTTCACATGGCTATTCCTACAGCTACACTTCATGACTCATCTAATTTTAGCTCTTTCCAGTTCAAGAGGAATTAGGAAGTGCAGTAAGTAGGAAAATGAACAGATATACATGCTAATTTTCACTTATTTAATACATATTTGTATCTTTTGTACACGATGTTGGAGAATGACACTATGCAAATGTGACAAGACTCCTGCCTTTAGGCAACTTACAGTCTCCTGGGGACTGCATACCAATGGCTGGAGAACTGGATTGCTGGGTAGAGTGTATAGTCACAAGAGAAGCAGAGTATTGGAATACTTTCAGTATCTCTACGTTAGGAACACACAACTTGGCAGGGGAGATAGCTTAGTTGATAAAGCCAAGAATGAGGACCTGAGCCTGGTCAGAAGGTCAGAACCTACATCGAAATGATGGCATGGTGGCATGAGCTTGTAATACCAGCCCTGGGGAGGGAGAAACAGAGGAATCCCTGGGGTACACATGCCAGCCATTCTAGAGTAATTGGTGGAGTGTAGCTGGAGAGTTTTCTCTCCAGGTTCCGCCAAGCCCTGGCAGTCCGACAGCCCACTTATAAAATAAACACACAGATGCTTATATTATTTAAACTGTTTGGCCTAATGGCTCAGGCTTCTAGCTATCTAGTTCTTACATCTTAAATTAATCCATTTCTATAAATGTATACCTTGTCATGTGGCTCGTGGCTTACCGGCATCTTCACATGCTGCTTGTCATGGTGGCAGCTGGCAGTGTCTCCCTCCGCCTTCCTGTTCTCTCAATTCTCCTCTCTGTTAGTCCCACCTATACTTCCTGTCTGGCTACTGGTCAATCAGTGTTTTATTTATTGACCAATCAGAGCAACACATTTGACATACAGACCATCCCACAGCAGGTGAGCTCCAGGCCAATGAGAGATCTTGTCTCAAAGGAGATAGATAATATTCCTGAAGGCCATACTTGAGGTTGTCCTCCAAATTCCACAAGTCAGACATGCATGTGCATGGGTATCCACACATGTACATTCACCCTCACACACAAGAAGATCCACAGGCATGTGTACATGTGGGCACACACACACACAGAGAGAGAGAGAGAGAGAGAGAGAGAGAGAGAGAGAGAGAGATAGACAGACAGACACAGAGAGATAATAGATTAGATTAAATGGATAGATAGATAGATAGATAGATAGATAGATAGATAGATAGATAGATAGGAATCCACAAACATATCCCCACATTAGTACATTTGTCCTGGAAGATTCCAAAGTCAGTGGAAGCTCTATATCTTAGAAAATGGAAGTTCTAAGATTAGATTTTAAGTGGGGACAAGGTAGGCTAGCCAGAGTTTGCCTGAGAAACACTGGTTACAACATGAAGAAACTTAAAAGGCCCATTAAGATGTTTATATTTCATCTCAAGGAATATGGGAACCTTGACATGATCAGCAGCTGGAATGAAGATCACTCTAGCAGTTTTTGGAAGGACAGACTGGTTGATCTGAACTTGAGTAATGAGGGAGAATCAGCTGGATCAGGCTGGTTGTGAGAGGAAAAGAAATGAAAGGTTTCCTGCCATGCTGCTTGGATAACTATCTAACAGGCGCTGGCTTGGATAAGGAACATTTAAACATCATTCTACTTAGCTTAAACTTATAGTGAATGTGGAAAAACATGTCTAGATCATTTTTATCCATCTAGAAACATGGATATATTTTTATACATTTGTGTATGTGTATATGTACATCTAATTATATATAATCTACCAATCCATGTCTATTTAGTGTAATTCATAACAAGAGAACATTTTACAGGGGGCTATTGGCTATAAGATGATAGGAAAGTTATTAAATAGAGTTAATTTGGCTTTTTGTCTGTTTTTAGAGTACAATTATTCCATGATACAAAGTTTTAATTTCGGAATTATTGGGACTTTTTCAGTTCAAAACTAGTTATAAAGTGTAAGTGGTCTTCTTTTAGATTTCACAGAAATGAGCTATGCCTTGACAGATCCTTGGAACATTCTAGAACAGTGATTCTGAAACTGGTCTGCAAATTATGGTCACCTGGAGAAGTTACAAGTCCCAAGCCTTGTTGCAGAAATGACAACCTCTGCAGATGAGATGCGAGGCAGGGACAGGTCTCTATGTGCTTCAGGTGGCTACTACACGCAGACAAGTTTGGGAGCCAGTGGTCTAGAACAGGAACACAAAAGTGAACTGAAACTGCTCACTGTGTGCCAGAGCTGCTCTAATTTAGAGACCACAAAATCAGGTGTGCAAGAAATAGCATCAGTCCTCGGCTGAAGTTAGTAATTTCCTTCAATTCCACAGCACAGGAGAAGTTTGCTCTGGGTCCATTCAGATATTCTCTCTCTTTTTCCCTATACTGTTTCTTAGCTGCAGCTGGATGTGCAATCCATCCAGTAAGGGTCATAAAGTGTCAAGGAGAAAAGAGAGCTTAAGAGTGGCCAGCATCCATATAATTTCCAGCTGTGATCAATCCAAGTTGTCTTTGTTGACTCCCTCAACACTTGTCTTGTCTGTCAGTTTCTGAGGTCACTAACACATCTGTCTCATCCCATCCAACTGTTGTCTATGGTCCCTGGGCTTTCTGCTCATAGCCTCACTGTTCACATCCTCACTGCTCACATCCTCACTGCTAACATCCTCACTGCTCACAACCTCACTGCTCACATCCTCACTGCTCACATCCTCACTGCTTATATTCTCACTGCTTGCTCACATCCTCACTGCTCAGATCCTCATTGCTCACAGCCTCACTGCTCACATCCTCACTGCTCACATCCTCACTGCTCACTCACATCCTCACTGCTCACAGCCTCACTGTTCACATCCTCACTGTTCACAGCCTCACTGTTCACAACCTCACTGCTCACATCCTCACTGCTCACTCACATCCTCACTGCTCACAGCCTCACTGTTCACATCCTCACTGTTCACATCCTCACTGCTCACATCCTCACTGCTCATATTCTCACTGCTCACAGCCTCACTGCTAACATCTTCACTGCTCACATCCTCA